ACTCATTATAAAATTATTGCAGGATTAGAAATACATGCCAAATATGCCGTAACTTCCTCCACCCAGACTATGGCAGGCATTACTAATCAATCATGCAACTCTTTCCTGTTAGAATGGGGCTGGAGAAGGCGGGCCAGAAAGGACAAGCATCTCCCCTATTCCTGATGTTTCTTTCTTGTAGAGGGAGCACCTTTAGTGTAACACTTCTGGCTTCACACTATTTCCTCACTTTTTCAACCTCAGGGAAGGAGAGAGACATAATCTGATACGCGAGCTTTGAAAGCAACAGTAGCCATGGGTTGCTAAGCATACCCACCCAGAGAGTGTGTACTCCTGACTTTCCTCTGTCAGCTAATGAATGTATCAGTGAAAGCCTTGGCCTTGGGCGAGATTTGCAGTGACCCAGTGCTGCCTAAGACAGGTGTTGTTTCTTTTTTTTTTTTTTTTTAAATAAATTATTTATTTATTTTTGGCTGCGTTAGGTTTTCGTTGCTGCACGTGGGCTTTCTCTAGCTGCGGCGGGCGGGGGCTACTCTTCGTTGCGGTGCGCGGGCTTCTCATTGCGGTGGCTTCTCTTGTTGAGGAGCACGGTTTCTAGGCGCGCGGGCTTCAAGCAGTTGTGGCACATGTGCTCAGTAATTGTGGCTCGCGGGCTCTAGAGTGCAGGCTCAGTAGTTGTGGTGCACGGGCTCAGTTGCTCCGTGGCATGTGAGATCTTCCCAGACTAGGGCTCGAACCCGTGTCCCCTGCATTGACAGCTGGATTCTTAATCACTCTGCCACCGGGGAAGTCCAAGACAGGTGTTATTTCTTTAATGCCAGAGGTAAGGATGGGGAAACCCACTTGCACAGCAGATACAACTCACATTCTCCAATTTCAACTTAAAAAAATTTTTTTATTTTATGTTGAAGTATAGTTGATTTAAAATGTTGTGTTAGTCTCAGGTATACAGCAAAGTGATTTAGTTATATATATACATATATCTATTCTTTTTCAGATTCTTTTCCTGTATTAGTTATTACAGAGTATTGAGTTGAGTTCCCTGTGCTATACAGTAGGTCCTTGTTGATTATTATTATATATATAGTTGTGTGTACATGTTCTCCAATTTCAACTTTAACAATAACAAAGGTAATGTTTGACTCTCTCTGTCTTACTCTTTTGCCCAGTTAAAATTGAGACCTGGGGCTTAAGAGAAAGGTGATATTTACTGAGTCCCTCAAAACCCCTCAAAAGAGCAATTGATTAGGGTTTTCACAGGAAATTAATGTTCAGTCTAATACACGCCAGGAGCCACAAGGTGCTACAGTTTAAGCTGAAGAGAGACGTGAGGTCAGTGTTGTTTAGAGCCATCTGCTGACCCTTAGACAAGACCCTACACAGAAGTGACAATTTTCATCACCAAGTTCTAGAGATTTTGCAATACAGAGAACCAATTTTGTCATTGCTGCAGGCATAATCTGGCCCAAGCAACTAACCCAACTGATCAAACTCACAGACAACTCTCTTATGCTTCTGTTGGAAATGTAAATTGGTACCATCTTTTATGGGCCAGTTTAGTAGCATATAGCCATATTCTAAATGTATTTACACTTTGTCATGGCATTCCACTTCTGTGTATCTATCTCACAGAAAATGCACAAAAATATATGTTCAAGTTCACTGCAACACGTCATGGAAAATTGTAAACTACCTAAATATCCAGAAATAAAGAAAAGGTTCAGCAGTTGTGGGATATTATGCAGCATTTTGTTCTTTCCTGTGGTGTATCTCTACTGTGTGTCAGTGAGTGGCACGGGGATAGGTGAGAAAGGAATGTCCCCTTAGTCCATATTTCTTCTATTTGAAATTTTAAGTGAATTTAAATTTACTTAATTTTATAATTAATCATTAATAAGAAAAATTGAACTCTGATGTAATAGTTTTTAATTCACGGTCTTTTTTTCCTGGGCATAGGATGCCTGTCATTTAGATTGTTCCCCATGATCAGAGGGCCTGGAAGCTGAGTGAGAAGGAAGGCTGGTGGATGAGCGTGGAATTGGGGCCAAGGTAGCAGCCATCTAGAGGAAAGAGTTCTCCCAGACCCAGGCGTGCCTGAGTAATAACCCTTTCCCTCATAATAGAATCCAGCTTTCCAAGGACTGATGTTCCTGTAAGTGCCAAAATCGAAGTCTCCTCCTTTACAATGCTGGCCGAAGATCACCTGAGTCGTCTTCTTTGGGTTCTTATTTCAGAAACTTCAAGCAGATCATAAACACCTTCTTTCTTCTGTCAGATCCTGATACAAGGGGTTGAGTTTCAGCTTTGACCAGGTGCCTGCCCTTGAGAAGATGAGAGCTGCCTACCTTCCTCTTGAAGAGTCACGTCCGCGTTCTAAAGGCTGCGGGTAAAAATTCTATCTGATTTTGTCTCACTCAAATTTATATAACCCATTTTTCTTCCTGAAAAAAACCTGTTTCGTGGATCAAAGTTTATTCAGTACTTTAGGAAAACTTGCCAAAGTTCTATTTTTCAGCATGTTACTATTCTCCCTTGATTGGACACGAGGTATCCCTCTCTCCCTATGACCTCTTCAGCCACTCAGGCTTTTTCTTGGTGCATGTCATTTCCAGATAGTTGGTCTCGTTGGGCATATGTGAATTCTAGGTATTGACCACCCACCCTTATAATCACAGTCTCCTCTGTGACATACGATTTGGTTTGTAGTTTACAACAGTGCCTTGGATAAAGGCTTTCTCACATCTGTGATTTTATTTTGTTCTCACAATAGTTTATCAGGTATGAGTGTCTGTGTCATCTGTCCTACTGGGAAGTGAAGTAACTGAGAATATGTGTAAGTGATGATGGAACCAAGCCTCTAACTGGTATCTCCTACCTTTCAGTCTTCAGCTAGAAGCCCATTAAACCCTTGCACAAGGGTTCTCAATACACTGGACTTTTTAAATCATTTGAAGCCTGGTGCACTGAAGACTTAGGCTGGTAGGTGACGTCTAACTTTAAACCACTAGGTTTCTCTCTATTAAATAGGCTGACACCACTCTAGTCATGGCTGTTCATTTACCATTGTTGTTATCTAGCAGCATTCCTGTCCCTCTGGGGAAGAGCAATGCAACTACAAAACTTATTCAAAAAGTCATGGAGGGACTCCCCTGGTGGCGCAGTGGTTAAGAATCCGCCTGCCAATGCAGGGGACACGGGTTCGAGCCCTGGTCCGGGAAGATCCCACATGCCACGGATCAGCTAAGCCCGTGCGCCACAACTACTGAGCCTGTGCTCTAGAGCCCGCGAGCCACAACTACTGAGCCCGTGTGCCACAACTACTGAAGCCCACGCGCCTAGAGCTCGTGCTCTGCAACATGAGAAGCCTGCGCACCGCAACGAAGAGTAGCCCCCACTCTCTGTAACTAGAGGAAGCCCGCGTGCAGCAACAAAGACCTAACGCAGCCAAAAATAAATGAATATATTAATTTTTTTAAAAAAGTCATGGAGTTCCAGGAATATTGAGATAATTCTCAGTTCCAGGAATATTGAGATAATTCTCTAGCACCAGAGAATTCTTTATAGAAGAGAGACCCTTGAGCTGGGTTTCAATGAATGCTGAGGAAGGGAAGGTTGAGTAGAGGCATTCGAGGAACATGAATGTCATAGACAAAAACATGACAGTAATGAAGTTTTTTCTGTCCTTTCAAGATCCTGTCTCCCACTATTTAGATAGAATATTAAAGATTATCAAAGGCAGTAGTGAAAGCAATTCCTCTTTGTCTGAAGGCACCCCTGAGCTTCAAGAGACAGCCAGATGTTAGGGCACTAGGCACATTTTCTTTGCAAACTGGTTTGCAAAGAAATTGCATTACTTGTTCTTGGGACTAAGTTGCTTATCGGTGGCCCATTCTTTGATTCACACAACTGATGTCTTTTCATTCTTATGCTAAGTGATATGCAAACACAACCTGAAGAAAATCCTCAGACACCTATCTCCAACTGTACTACCACCCCTAGGGCCCTACAGTTTAAGTTCTAGAGTTGGTAGAGCAGTTGGGACTTCTGCGTCTCTTATTTCCCAACTACAAAATAATGTGGAAGAGCAAGATACCAAAGGAGGAGACCCTTGAGGGTGTAGATGAACAGATCAATGTTTATTGAGTGAGGTATTGGGAAGCGAGGGATTGGGTGCAAAGCCAAGCAAAATCCCCAAGTTATCAAAATGAGTTCAATTAATTTACTCCTAGGCTGCTTCTCAGATCACATACCCTTTGCATGGCACCCAATTAAAAAAAAACAAAACAAAAAACCATCTACCAGTAAAGCACTTCCTATCTGGCAGAAAAGTCAACTACTCCATCAAAAATCACACAATATAGTTATTTACCCATTTCGGGTCCCCTCAGGGCTCAATCTCCCATAGTAGATGGTTTTCTTTTTAACCAGATAAATTTATCTTCTTTGATTAACTAGCAAATGTTCCTTTCCCAGGAGATGGTGCCTTAACACCCGAGGGTCAATTTTATTCCTTTATTTCTAAATCCTACAAATTATTCACGTCCCCTTAGACGCTTCCTCCTCAGTAAATTTGGGCAAGTTATTTAATCTCTTCATGCTTCAACTGCTAAAAAGGACTACTGAGAGTGCTTATATCATAAGAGTTGTAAGGATTAAAAGAAATAATTCAAAGTATTTAATAGCGCTCCTAGCACATAATGAGTACTCAATAAATGTTAGCTATTAATTTCACTTTGAACATTCTCTGGTTACAGTCATTGGTTGTTTTGCACATCTGCAAAACGTTTTCCAGTGGCTAAGGCAAGGAAGTTCTAGTACTTTTTCTTTCTATAATATCTTATAAGTAATACATTGTAGAAAATTTTGAAACTACCAGAAAGTACAAATAAAGAAACATAATTGCCTTAATTCTACTATCAACATCAACTTGTATGTTTTAAGTTAAAAATATTTCCTTTTAAAAACAAGAGTATTTTTAATATCTTTCCAGGTCAATAAACATGTTTCTATTACATTCTTAATATGTGCATATTTTCCTTTATTAGTGTTGCACCATAATTTATTTAACCGACCCTCTGTTTCAATTACTTATGTTGCTTCCAACTTTTTGTTATTTTGAACAATGTTCTGGGGTAAATTTTATATTCCTTTTGTGAACTTGTCCAAAATGTTATTTAGCATAAATTCATAAGAGTGAAATTTCTGGGTTTGAGGGAATGCTGTATCTAAAGGACGTATTATATATATACTGCGAATTGTCTTTCAGAAGAACTGTGCAAAATTGGCAGTCTCCCCAATGGGGCAAATTCCATGCTCTCATTTCCGACCCAATACTGGCTACTATTTAAAATATTTGCCAAGTTGATGGGTATAGACCTAATTTCATTTTTTAATTAAAAATTTTTATCAAAAGTGATAATGAAAAGTAATGATGAAAAATTTTTTATCAAAAGTAATGACGAAAACTTAATACATTCACCGAACATTTGGATTTTTTTCTTCTGTGACATCCCTGACAGTTTCAACAAAGAGATGGCAAAATGTGTTGCCAAAAGCACAGACTCTAGACTGATTACCTGAGTTTGAATCCATATTGAATCTCTTCCTAGCTGTGTGACCTTAGGCAAGTTACTTATCCTCTCTGAGTGTGCCTCAGTGTCTTCGTTTAAAATTAGTGGCTAATACTAGTGCTTACCATATAAAGTTAAGTACACGCAGGCATTTCGGACAATGAGCTACTGTTACTGTTTGCCCATTTTTCACTTGGTGTTTTGGACTTCTTTAGGTGGACATGGTGAAGAAGGCAAAGTGGAGGATACAAAGAAGCAACAAGGTAAACAGAATGCATAAAGAAACATGAAGTGGCATGCTAGCTCCTACATTTGAACCTTTCCAGTATTTTCATGTGTTTTAAAGAGTGAAGAACAAGAATGGTTTCATGCATTGTTATCCACTTTGTGAAACCCAGTTTAACCCAAATGAACAGAAGCCGTGACAACATGGAATTTTCTTGGTCTATGCATGACACTGTCCCCCAGGTCAAGCAGCTCCCAGGCTGTGCTGTCTTTCACCTATAATGACCCATGTTGAGCAGGGTGGTGAAGTACAGCTACATTTGTCCCAGAAGTCTAGGGGCCCCAGCCTCTGGATCTCAAATTTCAAATTATCTAAGAATTCCTCTCCTCTCCCTGTTACAAAGCACAAAGAGGGGTTTTTAGAACCCAGTTTTGTACTCTACTATTGTCCTCAGATTCGGGCACTATCTAGAAATGCACACAGTCCCAGAGCTTTCATGGAGGGTCAAAAGGAACCTCAGAGCTCATCTAGTTGAACCTCTTCATTCACAAGGAAGGTTCTGGATCACTATAGTCACAACAGATCCAAGAATAGGAAAGCAGAGAGCTCAGGGTGCTTCCTAACTTTTGGAGTTTAGGAGCCTTCCATGTAATTTGTTTTAAAATGTTTAAACCAACCCCAGTGTTGGTGGGATTAGCTAAAGATGGAGGAGCCACAGTTACTCTCGTCCATTCTGCTCATACGTCCTGTCCCAGAACGACCTGAGGCACTTTATGAAGGTGGAATTTCATAGCATGTATTTGAGAACCATTTGTCTAAGGACGATCATCTCTCTTTCTCCCCCCACCAACATCCCAAACTTCTCTCCTCAGAGCTTTGCCTTACGTAAGTCACCCAACACCACTTCCCATCTCTGGGTCTCAGCTTCCTCCTGTGTGAAACAAGGGTGCTCTCCTAAAAGATGCCTTCCAGAACAAACATGTCATGACTCCATTTAAGGGCCTATATATTGACTCAAAGAATGTACTTTCCTGAAACAAAGTACTTTATGACAACAGAAATCACCACCTCCACAATTACTGTTATTGAAAAACAGCTCAAGAGGTCCACACAGATTTTTAGCCAGACACAGAAAACAACTCAGGGCCCCTCACTTCCATACCTTGACAAGCCAGGTACACTCAAAATGGGCACTGCTTCCAAAAATAAAAACATGGGTCCTAACTTAGGGAAGGGGGGTTTAAAAGATCAGCTTACCTGGCAAATACAACTCTACAAACATAACTTTTCAATACTTCCAAGGAAAAATTTCAAAGCTGATTTTAATACCATCTTTCCTGTGATGTCTTCCCAAATGGCTGCAATTCCTGCCCTCTCTCCATGGTCACGGTCCTTAGTGGCTGGACCCGTGATTCTCATCTCTGGTTGCACATTAGAATTCCTTGTCTGGGGGAGGGAAGGGGGCAAAAAATTCATATGATCCATGTACTTACCCTCAGAAGTTTTGATTTAATTAACCTGGGGGTGTGATCCCAGTGTCATATCTTAAAAACTCCGCAGATGAGCCTAGTGTGCGGCCAAAGCTGACTGCCAGTGTAGATGAACTGGCTCCAAAGCGGGGTACATAGTTCATCAAGATGCTGAAAAAAGTTATAGAATGTCTTCTTATATATATTTTTTATCTCATTCTTTTAAAATTCTTTATAATTTATATTTTGAGTATATTAGTATATATTAGTACATTTGTAACAGATTAGTGCGGAGGTAAATATATATTTTATCAACAAATATACACGTATCTGGTGTGCATTCTCAAACAAGGGTTTTCTGATAGAAGTACAGCCTCCAAAAGTTTGAATCTAAATAATTCATTGGGTAAGTAGCCATTTCTACTAAGTAGACATTTCTTTAATTATAGTCTTTGTGGTCTGTTGTTAGCTAATTTTATGTTGTTATTTGCCTTTCATCTGTGCATTTTGTCTTGTCTCTGAAAGTAGATTGTTAATGCCTTTAAGGCAAAGATTCTGATTCCTGCTTTTTACTAACCTTCATATTTCTTGGCATGGTGTATGACCCATGGCTGTTCAACTCTGGGCAAACCTTAGTTTCCTCATTTAAAAAATACTGATAATAATAGTACCTTCATAGCATTATTATGAGGGTTACATTTGAGATAATTCAGACATAGTTCCTAACATATATTATGTTGCTCAGTGAGTGGGAGCTATTTTATTACTTGTTTGTTGAATTGAATTCTTACATCCCATACATATGGAATGCCAGGTACCATGCTAGAAAATGAGAAAAAAATGTATAAGACATGATTTCCCCTTTGAGCAACTCGTAGTCTAACAACAGCAAAACAAAAACCCAGACGTTTAAACACTCAATCATAAGGATACAAAATAAGTGCTAAGATAGGCATATTATAAAATTCTATGAGAATATAAGTAAGGGAGCAATTAATTTTTCCTAGTGCCTTGAAGCATGAATAGGAGTTTTCCTGTGGACAAGGAAGAGGCAGATGCTTGAAAGAAGAGCATAAGCAAATGCATAGAGCACTTGTTCTCAAAGTGCAGTCTGGGGATCCACGGGAATCCCTGAGACCACTTCAGGTGGTTAAAATAACAATCATCATAATACTAAGACATGGTTTGCTTTTTTCACTTGCATACTCTCACAAAAGTATAGTGGCATTTTCCAGAAGCTACATGACTTGTGATATTCAACAGATTAAATGTAAAAGCAGCTATGAGAATCCAGCTGTCTTCTATTAAAGAGATTTATGAAAATGTAGAACAATGCCCTCTCTTTTCACTAAGTTAGAGTTACTTTTTAAATACACGTATGTCAACATGTAATGTGTTTATTATTATTATTTTTAAATGAGTTAATGAATATTTAAAATATTTCAATTATAATTTCTAATGTAAATACATACATTTATATATTTATATAAAACCACCATAAACAAAAGCTCTTTGAGGGCCTCAGGAATTTTTAAAAGTGAAAAGGTTCCTCAGACCAGTAGCATAAAGGCATAAAGTTGCATGGCGTGTTCAAGGAATAAATGAATAAATGAAGACGTGCAGTTAGCTGCCTCCAGTTCTTTTAGGAGTAGAGTGTAAATTATAAATATATACATAACACATTCATACACAACGAATATGATTACCATATCCTCTCAGCCCATGAATAACAGATAAAGTATGCTAAAAGGCTGAAAGATTTAACCTGAATCTATTGGTGATTTTTGGAAAGGAGGAGGGAGCAGATTTAGTTAATCCAGTGAAAAGTCATCGCATATAAATTTGCAAAATACTCCCTGGACTGAGGTCATGTGTTTAATTTTAGCAAGTAGGGTGAATACGTTTGGGTAGGTATTTATACTAAGCAGTGGACTGAACTGGAGATAGGTTTGACAGTGGAAACAGTGATACAATCTTTATTATTTTCAATGCAAAAAAAAAAAAAACTATTAATGTGATGTTCTGGTTGAGAATTTAAACTCTCAAAAAATCTGGAAATTCAAAGTCATGGTACCCATAGCAACCATAACTCTGCCCCCTTGCATGCCCAGTGTGGAGTATTTTGTATTGCAGTACATGCTGTGAGATCTATGCCTAAATGTGCTATATAACAGAGTTACAGTTGCTGTGGGAACTGTAACTTTGAATTGCCTGCCTTTTGTATCATTAAACTTTCAGCTGAAGTATTGCATTAAAGGAATTTTTTTTCCTCCACTGCATTTCCTCATTAAAAAAAAAAAAATTGATTGGGTGTTTTTTTTTTAAAGGATGTAAATGATGTTAGACTCAAAAGGAAGGATAATGCATTCTTGTTTCCCAGATATATGCACTGATATAACGTTAGTGAATTACCACATTTACATATTTCAACCTTCAATAACAAGTCATAAAATAATCCTCGATTTACATAGAACCTTTAATCCTGAAGGATCCCATCACACACACAGACACACAGTAACCGAACCACATTGGACAAGAAAACTCAATAAATATTTAACAGCGCCCAACAAAATTATACAGTGCTTTAGGACAAGCAGTCAGGAAGAAAGGTACTGTCATCCATTGGTGGGACACAAACTGAGGAGTGGGAAATCTCATGCTCCATTCCTACTTTTTTGATGGCATTGGCTCTGTCTTTGACCTTGAGTCAGCGACTTGAATCCCTCACAACTCTGGGTATTCCATTTTCTCTGTTTACTGAGGAAGTATTTCTAGGACCAATGACAAGAAAAGACTTCAAAAGTTCATTTGCTTGTGTATACTACTGCCAGCCAAGGCACATACCTACATATTCTAGAACAGGCAATTACAACTACAAACTTCTACTACAAAAGGCAAGATAGTAAATATTTTAGGCTTTGAGGGCCATACAGTCTCTGTCGTAACTACTCAACTCTGCTGTTTTAGTGTGATAGATGCCATAGACAATACATACATGAATGAGCATGGCTGAGTTCCAACAAAATTTATTTATGGACACTGAAATTTGAATTGCATATAATTTTTATTTGTCACAAAATATTTTTCTAGTGATTATTTTCAACCATTTAAAAATGTAAAACACATTCTTAGCTCGTGGGTTGTACAAAAACAGGTAGTAGGCTGCAGTTTGCCAACCCCTGCTCTAGAAGTTTGAGTTGCATGTCAGGCTGAAGGCTACCTGTAGACAGAGGTGTGCTTCTAAATATTTAAATATCTAATATCCCTAAATATCTAAATATCCCTAACCCGAAAGAGGTATGTCTGTGTTAGTTTTTATATATCTAGATCTAGATGTAGATACAGATATGTACATATGGTATACATATATGATTTAGATATATATGTAGGTGTATAAGTTCATTACACATTTTGCCGATACACAGGAAGTGTAGCACAAATGTACAAATCATAATAAAATATGCCACACTCTTCACTGTAAATTCCATAGAGCCAATCTATTCTCAGAGAATGCTTTTGTTAACTATTTGCTGAACTCTTATATCCATAGCTAACCTATAATTGCATTAGCAAATGAGTGTAGTTCCAACCTGAATATTGTTTGAAATTTTCATTTAAATTGAGGAGTAAAATAAAAGTGAGAAAACAAAGATGCATCCAAAAATCTCACTCTTTCACCAATGACGTGAGCAACTTCTTTGCTGAATTATACAGCTTTCAAAAATTTCCTCATTTGTTTGTGCTATTCACTATATTATTGGCTACAGACTTGACACACTTTTTTTAAAAAATGTGATTTTAAGCCTCGTTAAACAGTAAGTTCTTTTTTTTTTCATTTTTATTTTGTTTATTTATTTTTGGCTGTGTTGGGTCTTCGTTGCTGCACGCGGGCTTTCTCTAGTTGTGGCAAACGGGGGCTACTCTTCGTTGCAGTGCACGGGCTTCTCACTGCGGTGGCTTCTCTTATTCTGGAGCATGGGCTCTAGGCATGCAGGCTTCAGTAGTTGTGGCACGCGGGCTCAGTAGTTGTGGCTCACGGGCTCTAGAGCTCAGGCTCAGTAGTTGTGGCGCATGGGCTTTGTTGCTCTGTGGCGTGTGGGATCTTCCCAGACCAGGGATCGAACCCATGCCCCCTGCATTGTCAGGCAGATTCTTATCTACTGGGCCACCAGGGAAGTCCTTGACACACGTTTAAGTTTAATCCATGTATTAGTCAGGGCTCTTCAAAGAAACAGAACCAATAGGAGATATATGTATCATAGTTTGATATATATATATATATATATATATATATACATGTATATCATAGTTTGTGGAGGCTGAGAAATCCCAAGATCTATAGTCAGCAAGCTGGAGACCCAGGAGAACTGACCTTTAGTTGCAGTGTGAGTCCAAAGGCCTAAGAACTAGGACAGGCAATGGTATAAG